ACATATACATATATATATATATATATACACACACACACATACAGTGGGTACGGAAAGTATTCAGACCCCTTTAAATTTTTCACTCTTTGTTTCATTGCAGCCATTTTCCAAAAATCAAAAAAGTTCATTTTATTTCTCAGTAATGTACACTCAGCACCCCATCTTGACAGAAAAAAACAGAAATGTAGAAATTTTTGCAAATTTATTAAAAAAGAAAAACTGAAATATCACATGGTCATAAGTATTCAGACCCTTTGCTCAGTATTTAGTAGAAGCACCCTTTTGATCTAATACAGCCATGAGTCGTTTTGGGAAAGATGCAACAAGTTTTTCACATCTGGATTTGGGTATCCTCTGCCATTCCTCCTTGCAGATCCTCTCCAGTTCTGTCAGGTTGGATGGTAAACGTTGGTGGACAGCCATTTTCAGGTCTCTCCAGAGATGCTCAATTGGGTTTAAGTCAGGGCTCTGGCGGGCCATTCAAGAACAGCCACGGAGTTGTTGTGAAGCCACTCCTTCGTTATTTTAGCGGTGTGCTTAGGGTCATTGTCTTGTTGGAAGGTAAACCTTCGGCCCAGTCTGAGGTCCAGAGCACTCTGGAAAAGGTTTTCGTCCAGGATATCCCTGTACTTGGCCGCATTCATCTTTCCCTCGATTGCAACCAGTCGTCCTGTCCCTGCAGCTGAAAAACACCCCACAGCATGATGCTGCCACCACCATGCTTCACTGTTGAGACTGTATTGGACAGGTGATGAGCAGTGCCTGGTTTTCTCCACACATACCGCTTAGAATTAAGGCCAAAAAGTTCTCTCTTGGTCTCATCAGACCAGAGGATCTTATTTATCACCATCTTGGAGTCCTTCAGGTGTTTTTTAGCAAACTCCATGCAGGCTTTCATGTGTCTTGCACTGAGGAGAGGCTTCCGTCGGGCCACTCTGCCATAAAGCCCCGACTGGTGGATTGCTGCAGTGATGGTTGACTTACTACAACTTTCTCCCATCTCCCGACTGCATCCTGGAGCTGAGCCACAGTGACCTTTGGGTTCTTCTTTACCTCTCTCACCAAGGCTCTTCTCCCCCGATAGCTCAGTTTGGCCGGACGGCCAGCTCTAGGAAGGGTTCTGGTCGTCCCAAACGTCTTCCATTTGAGGATTATGGAGGCCACTGTGCTCTTAGGAACCTTAAGTGCAGCAGAAATTTTTTTGTAACCTTGGCCAGATCTGTGCCTTGCCACAATTCTGTCTCTGAGCTCTTCAGGCAGTTCCTTTGACCTCATGATTCTCATTTGCTCTGACATGCACTGTGAGCTGTAAGGTCTTATATAGACAGGTGTGTGGCTTTCCTAATCAAGTCCAATCAGTATAATCAAACACAGCTGGACTCAAATGAAGGTGTAGAAACATCTCAAGGATGATCAGAAGAAACAGACAGCACCTGAGTTAAATATGAGTGTCACGGCAAAGGGTCTGAATACTTATGACCATGTGATATTTCAGTTTTTCTTTTTTAATAAATTGTCAGCTAAGAACAGGAAACTGAGGGTATAATTTGCACAGGCTCAGCAAAATTGGACAGTAGAAGATTGGAAAAACATGGCCTGGTTTGACGAGTCTCGATTTTAGCTGCGACATTCAGATGGTCAGAATTTGGCGTAAAACCACATGAAAGCATGAATCTATCCTGCCTTGTATCAACGGTTCAGGCTGCTGATGGTGGTGTAATGGTGTGGGGGATATTTTGTTGGCACACTTTGGGCCCCTTAGTTCCAACTGAGCATCATTTAAATGCAACAGCCTACCTGAGTATTGTTGCTGACCGTGTCCATCTCTTTCTTCTGATGGCTACTTCCAGCAGGATAATGCGCCATGTCTCAAAGCTCAAATCATCTCAAACTGGCTTCTTGAACATGACAATGAGTTCACTGTACTCCAATGGCCTCCACAGTCAACAGATCTCAATCCAGTAGAGCACCTTTTGGATGTGGTGGAATGGGAGATTTGCATCATGGACGTGCAGCCGACAAATCTGCAGCAACTGTGTGACGCTATATATGTCAACATGGACCAAAGTCTCTGAGGAAAGTTTTCAACACATTGTTGAAAGTATGCCACAAAGAATTAAGGTAGTTCTGAAGGCAAAAGGGTCCAAAGGTCCAACCCGGTACTAGCAATGTGTACCTAATAAAATGGCCAGTGAGTGTATGTGTCATGGTTAATATAATACTATATGATTAAGTTAGCGTGATTGAAAGTACTTTTATTATTGATGGTGATAAGCTTTTTCCAGTGGCGTGAAAGCTTGTGATTATTGCTTGCTTATATTCAATAATAACAATGACTGAACTGCTTCAGATTAATAATAATAATAATAATAATCCTTATTTGTAGAGCACTTTTCAAAAACAAGTTACAAAGTGCTTTGACAAGTGTAAAGAATAATACAAAAAAAAAAACAAGATAAGAGCATGAAAAATGAATATAAAATTAGTAAATACAATAAAATAAAAGGGATAAAATAAAGTCAAATAAGATCGGGAAAGGCTCTCCTATAAAAGTATGTTTTAAGAAGGGACTTAAAAGAGTTCACTGACTCAGCAGACCTGATTTCCTTGGGCAGGCTGTTCCAGAGCCTCGGGGCCCTGACAGCAAACGCTCTGTCCCCTTTAGTTTTCAGTTGAGACTCTGGAACAGACAACAGACCTCTGCCTGAGGATCTCAAGGTACGTGCTGGTGTGTATGGGACTAAAAGGTCAGAAATATAACAAGGCGAGAGGCCATGAAGAGCTTTTAAAGTCAATTCTAAAACATACTGGGAGCCAGTGTAATGAAGCTAAAATAGGAGTAATGTGGTCATATTTCTTTGTTCTGGTTAAAAGCCTGGCAGCTGAGTTCTGGGCAGTCTGGAGTCGATCAACAGATTTTTGGGTTAAACAGGTGAAAAGGCTGTTGCAATAATCCAGGCGTGATGAGATGAAGGCGTGTAAAATGGTCTCGGTGTCCTTAAAAGTTAACATAGATCGAATTTTTGCTATATTTCCAAGTTGATAAAAACATGATTGAACAAGCTTTGTGGTGTGCTGCTCGAAATTTAAATTACTATCAAACCAAACACCAAGGTTCTTTGCCACAGGCTTAATGTGATTTACTAGAGAACCAGCAGATGACAGTATTTGATTTGCCATCTGCTGGGACCCAATGACCAGGATCTCTGTTTTGTCTGAGTTCAGCTGGAGGAAATTATTTGATATCCATTTTTTAACTTCACAAAGGCAGTTGTGAACTCAGCATTCCAGGGTCTGTGGATCTGACGGGCAAGTATATTTGAGTGTCATCAGCATAAATATGAAAAGAAATGCCATGTTTATGGATAATATGTCCAAGGGGAAGCAGATACAAGGAAAAAAAAATGGGTCCTAAGACCGACCCCTGAGGCACACCATATTTAACTGGACAGAATGAGGAGACATAGTTGTTTACAGACACACAAAACTTCCTATTTGACAGGTAGGATGAAAACCATTCTAGGGCAGTACCAGAGATCCCCACCCAGTGCCTCAGTCTGTCTAACATGATGTTGTGATCAATGGTGTCAAAAGCAGCGCTAAGGTCCAGGAGTACAAGGACTGAGCACATGCCTTCATCAGCAGACATTAAAAGGTCATTGGTGACTTTAAGCAGGGCAGTCTCAGTGCTGTGGTACTTCCTAAAACCAGACTGAAACTTTTCAAATAATTTGTTATTTTCCAGTACAGTGAGCAGCTGTTTGGACACAATTCTTTCTAGAATCTTTGCAATAAAAGGCAATTTTGAAATTGGTCTAAAATTATGTGGGAGGGAAGGATCTAAACCAGGTTTCTTTAAAAGTGGGTTCACGCAAGCCGTTTTAAAATAATCAGGGACACAACCAGTAGATTGGGAGCGGTTGAAAACATCAAATGAGGCCCAACAGAATCTATTACTTTCAGTAAAAATTTTGTAGGTATTACATCAAGTGGGCTGGAGGACACTCTCATTTGTGATACTGTTTTTAAAAGCTCAGACAAGTCGATGGGATAAAACTGGTTAAAACTCTCTTGTTGCTGGTGAGGAACCTCTGAGTAAGAGGCCGCGGGGTAATAGAGGCTCTGATTGACACCACCTTATTGGTAAAATAAGATAAAACAATTCACAGTCATCATTACTTCCAGCTGAGGCACAAGGAGGGGTTGGGTTTGGGTTAACCTAGATTAACCTTACAACACCGGAGGAAAATTCCTTACTCAATCATTTTCTGGAATGATCATCTACTCTACAGTTTAAATTCTCATATGTGGGTGCTTTTATTGTTAGCTCATGCTTTGTTCAGTCTAGAATCCATTTTATGTGGGTGATAAATGTACCATTATCGTCTGACATAGTTTTACTTTTAATCTTGATAAATTTAAACGAGCATGCATTTGCATAGTAAATGTTTATCAAATTAACATGCAACAAAAACCTATGGAAGCCTATGAAAATATGCCAAAACATACCAGAATTAATTGGTACAAGAACAAATGAAGATTGTGATATTTTTATTTCAATATGATCAAAAATACAAAAATAAATGTATGATATTACTGTAGTGAATGCGAGCGACAACATACATGACTTATGCAGATCCTTTCTGCCGTGTGCATCATCACATATTAGCTATTTGCATCAGCATATATAATGTTGGCAGACAGCCTTTGCTAAAACATAAATAAATCACAGGATAAATTCTACTGATAAAGTTTTAAAACTAAGAACACATTTGCTCTCCATCTTTTAATGCTCTACATGCCCATAACGTAATTTAGATCATTAAAGTTCGTCTGTCTGTTTTGACTGAAATGAAAAAAACAACTTTATACATAGAAAACTGCTTACTAGTAAAATCTCTCCACCAATTATAATGTAGTTATCTCATCCCAAACAGAAAACTCTACGCCTTGTTCCCAATCTGCTTGTAGAGAACCATCGAAACCACCATGGCAGCAATCTGTAAAGACAACAGTTCATCTAAACACAGTGTAATGGAGCTGAGATAGAGGGTATAGACTGTACAAGTAAAACATATTTTGTAGATTTTTTGAAAAAGACATGCACTGCGTCACAACTAAACTATTTTCATGTTTATATTAGGTAAATAAATAAAAAGACATAAGGCTTCATGAAAGGCTACATTTATGGTTCATGAGATGATAAAAGCCTACTGGACCTCCTGGTAACAGGACAAAATATGGGTTCTAGTGGCTTCAACATTTTGCCAAAAATATTTAAAAAATCACTGAAACGCATTCCATTTGTGCTTGAGGTAATACCACAAATGTGACACCAAAACCAGCAATCTGTAATGGCCTTGACCTCATATAACAAGCATGCAACTCAAAATCAGAATCAAAAGAGTGATGTTTTTTTTTAGTTATTTAGCTCTACAGTTGTAAAACTCAAACTCAAAAATGAAATTACATAAATTGTGATCATGTTTTATTAACTTAAACCTGGAATAATTAAAATGATGTTTGACATCATTTTCTGTACCTCAAGAGCAGCAATTCCTAGAGCCACAGCCGCAATGATCACAACGTTGTCCTCTATCAGCTGCAGGAGCTTGTTCAAGCAGCCATCAATCATCTGGAGGAGAAGCAGCAGGTTTGAGCAGAGAAAAGGAATGACTGTTGCACTTCATCATAATTAATGGTTTTATTGCTAACATGTGTGAATTTAAACCAAAATGAAGTTGTACCGAAAGATGTGCTTCGTTTTTGTTGCATACGCCCTCGGTGATGGTCGCATTGCAGCATGTTTCTGGATAAACATTTCCTCCATGTTCATTGTAAAAAGGGGAGCCATCAAAATCTGTGTAGTTCTTGAATCCACAGCACTTAAACTGTGCACACACAAACACAAAGTGTTAATCCCAATTGTTTTTAAAAATATTTTTGGGCATTTGCCCATATTTTTGGGCATTTTGTGACTTTGTTTGATAGAGCATTAGAAAGAATGAGTAAAGAGGGAGAGAGATAGGGGGCAACACGCAGCATATTAATCGTTAATCCCAAATTTTAACAGAAACGATTCAATAGTCTTATGAGCACTGGTGTGTTGCTATAGTGTGGACAGAAGTGGTGACTGCTCAATTATGAAACTGTAACAAGTAAAATTAGGTTTTACACTTTTTGCACATTCCCATGAAATTAGGTAAAAAAGACCAGTATGGTCATCAGCATTTTGCTGGTTCCAGCTTCCAGCTTCAGAGTCTTTGGGTTTTGGACTGTTTGTCGGACAAAAGAAGTAATTTGAAGACGTCCCTTTGGGCTCTGGGAAATTGTAATGAGCATTTTTCAAATTGTTTTGACATTTTATAGACTAATTGATTAATTGATAATGAAAAGATTTGTTATTTGCAGCCCTTGGCTGAAGTATTCACTTAAAAAATAAATAAAACATACAGTACCTCCTCCATGGTGGCATTCCAGAGAGAGGTCACGCTTTCACTGTGTCCATACTCCTTTTCAATGCTTTTTTTAACGTCATCCTCCAAGCTCTGGAAAAGCTCATCAGCCTGAGAAGGACAAGTTCACAATCATTGAACTTGGTCCATTTTAACAAAGTTCTTCAGGGTTTTCCAAGTTGCTAACAACTGACAACTGGCAATTATAAGCAGATCCTGTTTTGCTTTTTAGACCCACTTACCAAACCCTCGAACACTAGTAGCACCACAGCTCCTGCAACCTCGATGAGGAAGATAATCAGCACGATACTGAAGAACTGAATGGGGAGAAAATGATAATTGGCACTGTAAAACATTTAATTGGTAGCAGCATTATGTATCCATAAAAGTCTAACCAACAGAGTGAGGAACAGCCCTGGACAAAGAACATTTAAGCAGATAATCAGTAGAGACATAGTAAACACTTTAGGGATCCCACCTAAAGCCACATGCTAAAATATTTAACAGCTTCTCCTCAGAGCCACCACATCCACACCAGGACTGAATAAGAAGGCATCGTTCTTCTCTGGTGAAATAACCATGAAACATTTCCTGTTACCAGAATACACATTTCATATCCAAATAGTCTCAAATGTGCTGGTAGTTCTCTCTGATCACAAATTATCATTTAAATATATATATATGTTTTCAAAAGAAAGAGGTTTATGTCACTTTGAACAGATGTCACACTACAACAAGTGAGACTTTAATTAAGTCTTAAGTCTGAAAGAGAAAGCTTTCAACTTTCAACAATGAAAATTGTGAAATTATTTCAAACATAGAGAATGTGATATATTACTGTCTTACATATTAGTAATTATAAACAGAAGTATATATTAATAATAGTGAATTCTACAAACTTTTCTAAAAAAGACACAGAGGTGTGCTTTTTGAATTACTGAATTTAGTCTGTTCAGCTCTTGGGCTGAAGTTGACCTTTGAAACATGGCTCACCGTCAGCAGCATACACCTGCTCTCCTTGACAGCTCCGCAGCAGCCCAGGAAGCCAATGATCAACAGCACAGCACCCACTGCGATGAGCACGTAGCTGACGTAGACCAGTTGTGATAACCCAGACGGAGCACCCTCCAAGTTACCCAGGATACCCATCAGAGAACCACTGTCCACCTTCACCCACACTCCCACACCCAGGATGGCTGCACCTGCCAACTGCATGATGGGTGAGGAAAGAATTGAGAGAAAGAATAAAAGAGAGGGAGCGAATGCAAGGACATGGTATTAAAGCATGCAGGAACAATCGGAAAATACTGAAAAGAAACAGTACCGAAGGGGGCGACATGATGAAAGGAGTAAGTTTTTTAATAATCAATAGCAATGTTGCTAAAAGTCATTGCTTTTGTGTTGTACCATAAGAGACTTTACACTCAATGTTTTCCTAAAAAAAAATTAAATACTTGTTCTGTTCTAAGAGCTTTAACTGGAGATATGAGAGGTCATTAGCAGGTGAGTTCATGCTAAGAAGTATTTGAGCTAGTTCATGTTTATTAAAGAACAGTTCAACATTTTTGGAAATGTGCTTATTGGCTTTCTTGTCAATAAAAAATATGATTTGGGTCACAGTGGCCTGCAGTCTGAATGCAGCCTAAATGTATTTTCCAAAATTTCAAACCATTCCTTTTGTCTATCATTGAATATAGGAAGTACACTGCTTCTGTACGTTCTTTCGTCAGGTTTAGCTGTAAAGGAGAATATACAAAGGAACACCTTGCTCTCCATTACTGTCCGTAATGTGTGCTCCCTAGTATGTTTGATTGTGGGACCAGGCTTACAATAAAGCTGGACAGCATAAACATAAAGGTGTTTTCTTTTTCCCAACTTACAAAGATGCTGCCATTGAAGATAAACATCATAATTTTGAGAAAGCTGGAGCAACACATCTTGGCTGATTTTTTTTCTTCTTCACCCTGTTAAAACAAAGAGAGAATCAGCTGCTAACTAAATGATAGCATATCTGGTCACACTTCCTTATTGGTTAGGGGATTTTGGGCAACTTTGCATTTTACCCCTCATAGCAAAACCAATGGTACAGGCATGGCTTATAACACAATATGGGTCAAATTGCATTTGCTTTGGTTATACATTAACCAAAGAAACTGGCAGGAAAACAGAAGGGGTCTTAATCTCCTTTAAAAGTGTTTCAGGAATCCAAGGTTTCTGTTGATGTCTGAGGTAAGTTGCTCGTTCATATCCACACTTTAGTTTTTACCTGCGTTATTTAAAGGATTATCAAGCACACAGTCCCATGATACACTTGCACACACAGGACACCATCTGGTACAGAGGGGAAAAATTAACTTACTCCTTCTCTGAACTTTTACACTCTCCATTGTAAAAGTGTACAAGCAGTTTTATATTACTGTAGCACTCTTTCTTAATTTTATCATATGATTATAACCCTATCCACACAGACTGAAACTGTCTTTTCTTCGCTTTTAAAAGTGTTCACAAATTTGCAGTATGCTGTAAATGTATGCGCCATATAATTATATTGGTCAAGGGCATGTTGTCATAATCTGACTCCAGTTAATCAGATGTCCTATGATGAGCTGATGATTAATGGTTATGCCAAGGTATTTTATCAACTTACTGGTATCCACACTACCAGTAGCCAAGAAGAACCATAAAATATCCCAAACTTGTACAACTTTGTTTCCGTCTGTTCTTCGTATCAGAAATGAGCTCAGCTTTATAGTTATTGTTCTTTTCCCCCCCTTCCTTATTGTAGCATTGACTATAGAAGTCAGAGGGAAGCTAATTGGCAACTGTTACCTTGTTTCCAAGAGGCAATAAATACCCCCCATGACACCAATAAAATCACATGTTGCTTATTTGGAAACTTTGTGGCAGCAAAACAGGACAAAAAAAAGGTTTTTAATGCAACTTGAAAATGAATGAAATGAAATGAAACATAGGAAATGTAGCTGCCAAAGGAGCTGGTTTTCTCTGCTGTGTTTCCTTTATGTCTTGTTTTTTTAAATATGTTAAAGAGAACTGAGTTGGATGATACTTATTTAGTCTTTTGGAAGTTAAAATCTACTGCTCATATTTCAAGTGAACTCCTTTAAATAAGACAACTACTTTAAAAAAAAATGACAATACTCAGATATTGTTAAGCAACGGACAACGGGTAAACCTTCGATCATAAGGAAATATGAGAACGTCAATTATCAAACAGGAAATTCAGCACTTTGTTCCCCTTCTTTTCTTTCTGGAAGAAATATTATATACTATAGATACTATATCATGTCATATATTCATTTGCTATAATGTGTTTGTGTCAGCTGGATATTTTACTGAAAAGTATTAAAAAGCATGACGCGCCTACCTGTACTGCAGTGACGGCTGTGTGAGGTCTGATCAATCACAAGTGTCTGCTCAACAAGGGTTTCACATGCCCCTTTATCTTCTCACAGGTTTTTCTCTCTCTCTCTCTCTCTCTCTCTCACACACACACACACAGATAGGGAAAATAGTTCATGCCCTACGCGTCACCAACTTTGCTTTCACGGTAAGCAGCATTTTCTGGTGGTCAAAGTCCCTCCAAAAATAGAATAGAAACCTTTATGACCAGGGCCTTTCCAACCAATTCATGGTTGATTGTTCATTAATGATTTCTTACACTTACAAATCTCAAAAACACAGGACCATTTCAGAAAGAGGAGCCAATCCAAAGACTTTGATAATTTAATGTTGGTAATAACACAAACTTCATGAATGTTTCATTTTCTAATAAATACTTTGGAGATAAAATGTGTGACAATAATAGAAAATAATAATTTAGACGTGTTTAATACAGAACAATAACACTGAATTGCAAATGAAAACCAACAGACATACTGTATAGATCCACATCTTTTAATCTCAACTCTTAACGGGACACAAACAACCTGGCAAAGGAAATACTGAACATAGCATTAACCTTTAAAGGTACAAAAAGAGCAAACAACAACAGAAAAATATAAATTAAAAGTAAATACAAATATCCCTCCAAGACAGTAATAACAAGTCTGGACTACTAACATGAATGATGTTGTGAATGACACAGCACCAATCAGGTATGTTTGACTTAGTACTGTAACAGTTAGCGAGCCAACTTCCTCAGCAGGATTAAATGGGGCAGGACAGGACATACAGTGTGCAGTAATGAGTGAGAGTGATGCATTTTCATGCAACACCCACAAGGGGGTAGCATGACTCAAGTAAATAAACACACAGTGATCCCAATGCCATGCTGATTTTGTTCATTACCTTTCATTCACATCCTCACCTGCAACAGGTGCTATTCACCCACTAGACAAGAAATAGTAAAGCAGAGGCGTCGGGCAAAAAGGCACAGCCGCTCAGTGCAGCTCTTTGGCATCTCAGTGTAACAGTCACATTCAAATTATGATGAAGAGTGGCCACGTTGGGAAAAGATAAAATAAAAGGGGGGAAGCCAATCATCCATGATAGTATTGCAGTAACATATGGTAAAGTACATTCACAATGATAGATCTTTGACAATCTGCGGTGTATTTGTGTGTGCATGTGTGTGTGTGACTATGAAACCAGTTTTCTATGAATTTTCATTGTCAGCTATCAGCATGCGCAGCCACGCTGGCTGCTGTGGGGCGTCTCCTTCAGGTCGGCCTTGTTACTGACTGACCCACTGGCATCGCCGTTCGGGCTCTCGCTCATATTCTCACAGATGACGTCCACCAGCTTGTCAAAAACCTTCTTCACGTTGATGTTGTCTTTGGCACTGGCCTCGAAGAACTGGAAGCCTGGATAGAGCAGAGAGAGAAAGAAGGGCTATGAGTGATTTTGAATTGATGCTGTACAACAGGTGAAAAGTGTGTGTGTGTGTGTGTGTGTGTGTGTGTGCGTGTGTGTGTGCTGACCGAGCTCTGTAGCCAGTCTTTTGGCATCTTCAGAGGGGACCTGCCGGTCTTCTTCCAAGTCCAGCTTATTGCCCACCAGCGCTACTTGAGCGTTGCCCCACGAGTATGTCTTGATCTGAGTTGCCCTGGGGAACACCAACACAACATTTTTACAACCACTATGCTGTAGTATTTTGATTATAAATATATTTGATTCTACTTTATACTTCTATTCCACTACATTTGTCTGAAAGGTAAAGTTTTTATAATTTTAAATATAACACACTTGATCAATATTATGCATCTTTATAAATTATACAACCCCAGAGTGTAAGAAATTAAAATGAGTACTTCCACTTTTGATACTTTAAATATATCAAATATATATTTATATATATTTTGCTGATAACACTTTTTTTAACATTTTGCTTATAGTATGAGTATTTTTGCTACTTTGAAGCAGAAGATATGACCACTTCTTCCACGACTGTGGATGAAAAACCTTCTATACATGTAGGGGAATTAGAGCTGTAAGTTATAGGAATATAGGAAAATATAGAGATTTTTTAATTTATTTAAAGCATTACTAGAATTACAAGCATGTCACCACTGCTGTGATTTTGCAGGGTTTTCCTGTTGTTATTTATTGCTCTTTATACTTTAACTACAGTAAATATTTTACAATGACTGGAGGTAAATTGTCAGATGTGTGCCTTTTCTTTTACTGTGTGTAAGAATGTGTCTATTTTTCTTCACTGTATCCTGTTACTGCAGCAATGGAACAATTTCCCTCAGCTGTTGTCTTGTGTATTAAACACATGGCGAAAGGGCAGGGTGTCTTCAAGTCACAGACACCAAACAATTAAAACACTCAAAACACTCATGGGAAAACACATAGCTCTACAAATGCCTTCAGCTAATGGATAACACACACGTACTGCTATACATGGTGGATTAACCCTGTGACGTCACATCTGGAGGTCTACCCACCAGTCCTGTACAGCACAGAACGACTCTTGGCTCGTTATGTCATACATTAGCAGGAACCCCATGGCTCCTCTGTAGTAAGCTGTGGTGATGGTCCGGTAGCGTTCCTGCCCTGCTGTGTCCTGTAAACACACAACACACATGTGAAATTCAGGGTATTCTTATTGGGATCAGTGGCTTTTATTGATTAAACCACATCTCAATCTCAAGGGAACAGGGAAATACAAATGTCACACTACGGGAGTGGAGGGGGGTTGCAAATGGTTAACTTGGTTTTCCTCAGAAGGAAAGGTGAATCATTAACTCTCTTGCAACAGAAGTTAAACTCTTCAGTCATGTGTTGATGTTGCCACACCCTGTATATACACCAGGATGTGCTCTCTGCTTTTTGGCTATGCCGAAAGGGACAAAAATACGGTCTGAAGATGTTGTTTTTCTTTATGCTCTTGTCTGACTGTGGGGAAACTGCGAAAGCATTAAATAGTAACTGTGGATATATGCATCAAAAATAAGACTGAACCGATTAACCAATTAATCTAATAGGCTGTAATGTTCTCCCCTGATGAAATGTCCAATCTTATCATCATGCACTCTAAACATGGAGATTTAGGGCCTGTCAGTGACGTACAGTATATGTCAAATGGACCATACTGCGTGAGTTGTTATCACTGTCTCAAACTCTTGTATGCACAACTTTCATGCAGGGTATTGCCAAATGAGTTGAGCTTGTTTTAACAGCCCCATGAAACCACTTCAAGTTGCTCAGCAGCCAATAAGATTTTACTTGTACTTGGCATCTTCCTCCTGTAAAAGTATGCAAATGTATCATTGTTACACAGAGCAGAGGAGGCATGCTAGGCTGAATACATTAAGCCAAAAAAAAGGGGGGGGAAAGATGTATTACTTTCATCTAACAGGAGCTCTGTGTCCTCGCCTTCCACTAACATCTAGTTATAGATTTGTCCTGGGTGTCAGCCTGCGCTGTAAGCACATTCAGCACCAGCAGCTCAAACCCCATACATCTTTCATGAACCCTGCCGTCTGGGGACGATGTTCAACATCAACTGCCATTAACTCCAGAGAGTGACAAATTAGTTTATGCCACATCCATGACAGGCAGCAGCGTGTAAGAGGGCAAACTAGGGAATGGGGTGGGGATAAACAGTCTGTGTTGTGTAACAACGCTTTCAAAAGCACTATTCACTCTGCCTTTGGTTAAAGCTGTGTTTTTAGAACCTCTCAACCCCAGGTAAATGCCGTTAATTACCTCAAGTATATTACAGCTCTGACATTAAACAGACTGCAGTGTTTTATATTCCATTTTGCTGATATATTGTCTGTCAAACCATTTTGCTCTGTACGGTGTCATATTTTTATCCGGTTTGGGGAGTTAAAAAGCTTCCTGAGAAATCTACTGAATAATATGAGGGGCTCTTTAGACCTCAGCGATGTGAGTATCACAGCTCTTCCTAACCTGACACCTCAGCTGTTCAACAGAGTTGTGAATGTGCACAAGATGACTATTCTTTTTTTATCATAGGATCACTTTTTTCATACAAATTGACATTGATGTGGTGGTTTTTTGTGCCTTGTGCATCAACAAAGTCTGCAAAAATGCATGCATCTTTACATTAGTATGTTGATAATTGCTGGAACTTTGGTGAGTTGATATGATCAATACTTTATGTTCCAGTTGAGAAGTTTCAAGCTTAGCTCATGAGACAACACTGTAATCGACATATTTGATTTCTATTAATCTAACTCAACTAGGCACAATTTTGGTCTTTTCAGTCATGTTTTTTATCAAGAGGTGGCCACCACAGAGATTTTTAGTTCTTTTCTTTATCCTCACTGAACTGAATGACAGCTATCAAAGTGTTGGGTTCTTGGGGATTTATACCCTACTGTCTCATTTCCAAAATACTCAGGCACATTTGGGAAAATAACGTCTCAGTGCTTCATTTCATGACAGTAGAGCGCGATCCATACATGGCTTTTCTGATATACTGTAGTCTGTCAATTTTGGCTATTTTTTCTAAACACAGATACATAAAAAAGTCTGTTAAATCTAGAACAGAATAGAATAGGTATCAATGTATGTAAATATAAAATAAAACGCAGTTAGGAGCAAACTGTTGAACATGGCAGCTTTAAAATAGCAAATATACGTAAAAGGCAATAAACAAGATAGCGTAAAAGAATAAAATGAAGCAATTACATAAATAGCCTAATTTTTCAATCTGCAGTGAAATTTGTTTTTCTTTGCACATATATTTTTTTGTAAATTAATTAAGTTAAAGACCATATATCACAAATAATTAAGTGATTCTGGCTTTAAATGCAGAGATTGTTTCTATGTTGTTTTCAATTCTGCAAATATAATTCTAGAAAAAGTCTTAAGTCTTCTACCTTTCAGGGGCATGAACAACACAGTGGGTAGGTTTATTGTCACAATATAACAAGTTATAGAATGAAATTGAGTTTTGTAACTCAACCCTTCTGCTACATAGCAGACAATATACATTAATACAAAATCAATTATGAAAAATGTTAAATAGAAATAAACTATCATCAATGGAATATACAATAAAGACATGCAAATACTAACACTCTCGATGCAAAAATATTAGTGTTGTCATCCACTTTGCTGCTTCGACGCTGAGCAAACATCAGTTTGTGCTGGCCTTATCTACTAGACTTCTATTCTTTCTTCCTGATGCGGAGAAGAAACCAGACTTTGTGCATGTAAAAAAAAAACTGGAAAGCAGGAAGGTGAAGGAAACTAGAGGATTTTTCTTTAGCCTTGCTTTGTGATTCTTTTTCATGCCAAAATAATTTGCCAAGGTACAGAGTATAATGTTGACAACTGTTAACATGTCAATAAAGAAACCTTAAAAATAGTTCCTATTATTCCACATTTACTGATTTAAAAAATGTTGGTTTAATCTACAATAAATTAAAAGAGCCACATTGCTTGGTAAAGTATTAGTTTTGATCTACTGAAGAGAAAAAAAACATTTAATGTTGGGGGAGTGGGGCTTGCTGGTATAATGCCTTCTTCAAAACCTTTACATTTAACACTATTCTAACTTTTGGCTAGTGTTATACTGTAAACATCACTTTACTAAGTTTCATAATAATGACGGCCTTAGCGAGAAACAAAAGTTGTAGTAACATTTCTGTCTTAGTCCTGCAAGACTTGAGTTTTCTTTTTCACACTTCTAGTTGGTCCATGGAAAGAAAATAGCTTTCGAAGTGCACACCTGAAAAGCTCTACATCTAATTTTCCACCTGCATAAATGGCACACGGAACACAGTCATCCTGTGAATTAAATGTTTTTCAAAATTATGTTACGAGAGACTTGTTTATGTGATCACTTAATTATATGTCAGTGAAATTAATTAATTCATCTTCCTTTTCAGCATTTCAAGATCAATGTTTTTTTCCATCTCACCCAGATCTGAAGTTTGACCCTCTTGTCGTTCCTGTAGATGGTCTTGACTTTGAAGTCGATGCCGACTGTGCTGACAAAGGCGGAAGTGAAGGAGTCATCTGCATAGCGGAACAGGAAGGAGGTCTTTCCCACGCTGCTGTTGCCAATGATCAGCAGCTTAAACATGTAGTCAAAGTTTTGGTCAGCTGCATCTCTCTGCTCCTGGCCTGCCCCTGGATCTCTGGCTAGTGCCATCTGTCAAGTCAAGTAGGACAAGAGGAGAGGAATGGTCTTACAGATATCCAACCTTACGAACAGACAGTAAAACTTATTCATTATAAAAAATATCCATAATCATTTAGAAATGTTTCTAATGGAACCTGTGACCATAAACATGAAACGTTTTGGATTGTTGCTCGGACACAATAAGACATTTAAAGATGTTACTTTGGGCTCTGGGAAATTGTTACAGACTTCTTTCGGTGTTTCCTGACATTTTATAGACTAAAACATGTAATAAGCACACACATGTAATTAATTCTGCACTGGGCCAATAGACAAGTAAATTCCTGCACATTCAGAATTAGTGACTATTGTGCCTGCTTCTTTCTATGTTTCTGTATTTTAAATTGTACATAGTGTACTGTATGCTAAAACATTTAGCTGATACAATAATTGGCAACTATAGATAATCTTTTATCTATTTTATCCTTTTTATTATTATTATTTATTATATATTTTAAGGATATTTTGAAGTTATTTTTCAATACAAAGAAAAACGCCAAACATCCCTTAGTTTCAGTTTCTAAATGGTTTACTTATTTGCTTTTGTCTTACAAGACTGTAAATGGGATATCTTTTGGACTACAGTCAAATGAAAACAAGCAATTGATGACATGAACTCGGGCTTTTGGCGATGGTGATGGGAATTTTTCACTAGATTCTGACATCTTATTGACAAAATGATCAATCGGTTAATCAAGAAAATAATCAGAAGATGAATTGATAATGAAAATGATCATTGGTTGCGGCCCTAGAAAATAATAATTAAATCACAACAGAGTTAAAAGGGCTACGATACCTTGCCACCGATGACAGTATACTGTATAATCTTGTTTTAAGGCAAAGAGAGGAAGACGTGATGATGATGCAGAACTCAGACATAATCTGCACATTGTAATAATAGTTTCAGATACATTTTACTTATTAGAGCAATGCTTTGATCCAAATGAGATCATTGTCAAGGGGATGCCAATGCAATGACTACAGTCCTGTTAAACTAAAATGAAGTGATTATTAAGAATCAAATACAATGAAATGTACTACTGAAACGCTTCTGAGAAATAAAATCCATGTCAAACAAGTAGCAAATGTGGTCTAATGTTTACTCTACTTGAATTATTTAAGTTTTGATGACTGAAAAAGGGAAGCCTAAATTTGAGCTATGTAGTTGGATCTATACCAGTGTATTTTAGAACTATTATAACACTACTACTATAACAAATATGTCAACTATTGCTCAGTTGATAAATCACCTATCCTGGTAAGAACATACAGCGGAAGGACTGAAAAAGAAAATATCCTGGAGTTAGCATTTGCCATGAGTAATGAGTATGATTTGGCTCCATTACCAGCCTCCCTGGCTGAGACTTAGCTTATTCAAAGAAGGGGGTGGATGTCTGGGATGGCACTGTGGTAAGACAGTACTAGTGTGTTCAAATGTCAGAGTGAGGAATCTCAGCTATTTGAGAATTCAGGTTAAACACTGGCATGTCTGAAATGTATCCACACTAATAGCTGAGCAGATGTTGATGTTGGTAAATGGAAGTGTTTGTTTAAAAAATGGTCTCTCTTCCTCCCTCATCCCTCTTAGCTCACATCCCTGCACTATAAATCACAGCCAGGGCATGCTGTTTCTCCCCTCTATCCATCACCCACTTCTGTCTCTGTCCATTTGTCACATGGACTCATGTTACAAAATGTATGGGATCATATGGATTTTGGGGGGTGGGGGGGGGGGGGTGGGGCAATAGATTCTCCTCCCCTCCCTGTTCATCCATCCGACCATTCATCGACCCACTGACACACCCATTTAAACTCACTCTCAAACTCACTCACACACCAATTCTTCTTCCTTTACTCTCTCGCTCGCTCTCTCTCTCTCTTTCATATTCATCCATCTATGCATCCCACCTGTCGTCACCCATCCATATCTCATCCTCTCTCCCACTCCACACTCTCTCCTTCGTCCATCTCTCTGCATCATGAGGAGGCTGAACCATCCATTCATCCACACATCCACACCCCCCTCCATCCCATCGCCACTCCTCTGTCAGAGAGGCAGAGCCAAGTCCTACATACTCCTCCCTGATTGCTGAGAGCTCTCTGGAGACCAACTCAGCATTACGGCTTCCAAGAACATAAAGAGGGGGCTGGCCGGTGTGCTGCTTTACAACAATCAGCAAAACACTAATATCTACGCATGCGCCTACACATGTACAAACCGGTGTGTGGAGGTTTATCACCCTGGATGCGTTTACTTTTGCAGCAGAAAACATGCCATCTCGCACTCGCATGAAAGCAACAGCGTCATAATAAAAGATGACTTCACAGCAGATGCTGACATCTGGTCTACAATAGAAAAAGTTAATGGACATGGGGTGTGCACCTCGCAAGGCCAGAGTGTTTGTTTGAGAACGCATGGGGTCGTGACACTTGTTGGCACTTAATATAATTATTCCTATTCCACCAGCCTGACATACTGCAAACATAGAGAAAAAAAGAGTCATAGTTTTCTATATAGGCTGACACTAAAGCCTACTACTAGCTTCGTTTGCCTACACTGCCTACCATACGGTTACCCAACTAACCTGATGCCATTCAAACAAAACCTTTGGCTTTGCTGAAATCTCTGTGAATGTTACCTTCCTTGGATGTTGTTTATGTGTCTGTCTCCTCCGTCCTTCCTGTGGTCTTCCACCTCCACCTGAAAGCCGACGGGTGTGCGCTGCTATCGGGCGCTCCTCTTCGTGAGCTCCGCTCCCGGATCTCCAGACTGTTACCGTGCCTGTCACCGGGACACACACAATCAAGTCAGCCAGAATATATAAGCGAGACATCCTGTGAAGACTTTCAAAATAAAACCACCAGTTTGCTCTCAAAATGAAGTGGCAACTGAAGAATCATTTGGAGGTATTTGTTTAAGCAACATTGGAGCAAAGTCAGAGTTGTTATTCTTTTAATCTGTATTGTGCATGATTATTGCAAAGTTTGGTGCCATATTATGTCCGTTGCTTTTTGTCATCTGATTCTGTGAAGTGTTGAGACTATGTAGAAAAGTACCGGGACACCCCAGTCCTAATACTTTGCAGGGGCTGTTTTTTCATGGTATTGTGTTTCTTAAGGGAAATCTTTATGCTTCAACATACAATATTAAACAACAGTTCTTCTAGCTGTTTCTGTTTGGCCCTTTCCTCTTTCAATAGGACAATGCCCCCGTGCACAAAGCAAGCTCCATAAAGAAATGGTTTTCCTCATTCGGTGTGGAAGAACCTGACTGGCACGCTCAGCGCCCTGACCTCAACCCTATCCAACACCTTGGAGATGAACTAGAAAGGAGATTGCGAGCCAGGCCCTCGTAGCATCAATGTCTGACCTCACAAATGCTTTTCTGGATGATGGGGCAGAAATTCCCACAGCCAAACTCTAAAATCTTGTAGAAAGCCTTCCTAGAAGAGTGAAAGCTGTTATAGCTGCAAACGGGGGACCAACTCCATATTAATGTGCCTTAAATTGATTCATCTTTAAGACTTTAAGAATTGTCAGAAACTAGTGAAAATTGCCCATTACATCTTCTCAGAGTTCAAAGTGACATCTTCTAAGTGTTTTTTAACCAACCAACCATCCAAAAAATCAATTTAGAATGGCATAAAACAAAGACCAGCAGCAATGCTTTGCATTTACGTAGACTGAAACATGATAACAATTCTTTAATAATCAAAATTGTTTTTTATTCTGTCAATACATTAATCTATTGTTTGTTTCAGCAAAAGTAGTGTGGTGCTTTATTGACACATTTTGCAAGATCATTTGCGCTGCCAAAATTTTAATTTGAAAGGTATATCGCCACATTTCCGGTGATATTTTGGTCCTCACTGGCTCCTTGACGCAGTTTCAATAGTAAACTTCAGGTTGTTTTAGTGTTTCTTGTATGGCGCAAGCGTTACGCATCCAAACTCATGACCTCTCTGTTAAACTGGTCATATACCATGGATAAAATACAGCAGCTGATTGTAACAATCTAACATCCCCATTTAGTAAGGTGAAATTCAAGATGTAATCTGCTGAAATATTATGTCTTCAGTCTGACAAACCAGTTCTGGCCTTTATCAACAAGCATCGGCCTGACTGTTGAGCAATGCAGGGGAGTCATGCACCACCAGGCACATTAATCATGTCCAAACCAGACCTACTCCACTTGCCTTTGCAAACGTGAAGCATTGAGAATAGCGGCACGTACTGTACTTGTGCTCTAAGGCCTTTGTTTAAATTAGAGACAGAGTAAATCATGCTGGAGCAAGAGAAGAACTACAGCTGTGGGGCAATGAGGCAACAAACCTGCCAGAACTGCAGTGTGAAAGAGGGCTTTTAATGGTGCATGGCAAAACATCCCTGAGACCGCAGCAGCACACCCTAAATAATGCACTAAATCTTTACTGCCAGTAATTTAGAATTATACACAAGGTGAACTGTGGATTGGTTTTTAAATAAAGGCATTAAACTCAAATTCCTAACTAGCCTAGATAATCCCTTTAGCTCTGAGGGGGAAATGTATCATGTAATAGATTATTGATTACATAATGACCACAAAGAAAGAAGATTAATTTGATCAGTGGAGATCTTTCAAAAAAAGCAACAGTAGTTGCGTAATGTCAACCTGTGACACAAAATAAAAACACATAAACTTAAATTTAAAAACCCTAACACAAACAGAGGTATTCTCTCTAGAGCTAGACCAAATCTTTGTTGTGGATATTATCCACATCTTTGCCCTGTGCCAGACCATACAGGTTCTGTAAACAGAAAAATATAAGAAAAAACAGATTCAAACAGGAACTCTTAACTGCAGACTCAGTCTGTTAAATCACACGACACAGTGTCATTCAAAATTAGACTACTTTTCTAATACTTACTTAAGACTTTTTAAAGTAAACTTCCGTCATCTCGAACAGGAGCTAACATTGCCACTTTAATGTAAACAAGTCTTCCAAAGCTCTACATAACAAGAAACAAGACAAAATCAAATTCTGTAGACATTTTGTGGCCAAGCTGACTGAACAGATTTTACATGCATACAGTCTACCTCAAAGGTTCATGAACTCTGACTCAATATTTGTCATGGTTAACTGGACACTGGGTCCTAGTTGTAACATGAGCAGGTTTTTGGTCATTTGAGTGCTGGTATCGGGCCGGATCATTGCGCATCCACAACCTGTGGAACTCCTTGATGAAGGGCTGCACCAGGCGCGGCTCCTCAGTGATGAGGATGTTCTCCATGTTGCCCTGCACTGCTGTCAGCGTCCAGTTGAGGGAGCCGGTGATGAGCAGCCGGCCGTCCACCACTGCAAACTTGTGATGCATATACACGGAGCCCACGTCGCAGCGCACACAGATCCCTGAGGAGCAAAGGGTAGACAGGGAGGAGGGCAGAGAATATTCTTCAATGCCTTAAATATGTGTGGGTGTAATGTGCAATGATGGGAATTTGTAAATATTGTGAAATATCATGGCATGATCATTGAACATGTACACTTACCTGTACTCAGATTTAATATTATACATACATAGCTATATTGCCTCATATATATACATTCCTGTGATCCTTACCCTTAACAAGTTTATATTTTGACATTGTGTATATATTGTGGACATTTCAGATTTTGTTTATATTTTCACTCTTTTCTACTTTGTATTGCAACAGCTGCACGACAACTTATAAATAAAGTACTATGTTATCTTATCTTCTCTGGTATCTCCTATGTAATTCTGCAAAAATAATTTCAATGAGAACGAAGAAGAAATAGAGAACTTAAATACTCCATAAGGTGTTTAGTGTGAATACATAAAGGAGTGTTCAAAAGTATGTAAGGATCATGAGTGAACATTCCTGCTCTTTAGTCCTAGGAGCTCCTCTAAGATTGAAACACCAACAGAAAAGACAGTGCTGACCTGACCTGTAATATAGAAGGACAATATATGTAGAATAAATCTAAATGCATTTAAACCTCTGCACTTTCACTACGATTTATCCCCACTGCAAAACCATTTCATCAAAAGGTTACAACACTCAACACTTAACGTTTAAGGTCACATGAATGTTTTCCTCCTCTTCATAAAACCACAAGACAGTTGTTTGTTTCTTTTATCCAGCATGGGCAGAAGGAATCCCCCCTGGACAGAAAAACTCACAAAATTGTTCAACACAAAACCTACTTTGGTAGGATATTTGTCTCTCACTGTTGACTAATAAATATATATATATTTTTTAGATTGGACTGCAGACTAAACTCAGAGAGAATAAACATGCCAGTCCTTGCTTGAAAGGTTAAGAACATGCGCCTTTAGTGAAAGGGCAATTATCAGAAATCAGTTTTCTGCGCGTTTCTCTTCCAAGGAACATGTCCCCTTGACTGCCCTAATCGCTCTGTGTAAATGCCCTTTTTGTCTTTTAAAAAACAAGCTAGAAAAACAACGAGAAACAGTAAATGCAACTGGCAATTAAAGTTTGATGTCTTTCCAGTTTTGACCCCAGGACATCCTTCCCCCTGCCCTAACAGAGCCTGAGTGTGTTGGTGGATATCTCTCCCTTATGGGGGAGATGTTTTCTAAGCAAACTCTGGACTACACCCAACCAGTGACAGCAAAGCACTGTGCTAAGGTGCCAGTCGCATTGAGTTATTTAAGGATAAAAGGATTTTTCACAGACATTGACAAGATATAACAGATGCAGTCTGAAAAGAGGAGTTGGTTGTCCTTTGTGCCAAAGCAGCTCTCATGTGGTTTGCAGTCAACATACACACACACACACACAGACACTTGAAAACACTCTGCCTAATGAAATTTGCTGTCTGCCTGCCAATTTCTTACTTACTTAATTCTAAACTTAACCATATGCAATTGTGGTAATTTATTAAATGCAGAGGGCTGAGAGAGAAAGTGAGACAGTGTGAGTCTGACACGTGACACAGAGCTTTCAGAGCATGATTACTCTGACTCATAGGAGGGCTTGTATAGTGGCGACCTCCATTCACCCAGACAGTTCCTATCGTCTCTCCATTCACCACGAAGGAACCCTGTGAGGCTTACTGACAATGACACAGGTAGTCTGAGAACACAGAATGAGCACCTTTTGTTGAGTCATCCTTCCTGTATTTGAAGTGAAATTTGTCCACAACAATGACCCCACAGATGATGTTGTGACTTTTTTCAGTAATAATATCTATATAAGGGCTAAATGTGTCCCCCTGGGCTTGTTTTTGTGATTTTTTGGTATAAAGATGATTTGTAACAGTGACTGTTAAAGTAACATATACTTCGTAATGATTTAAAAAATAATCTGATCTGTTTCCCTCACCAGCCTTGCGGAGGACCCCTATCTGGGAGCCAGTGATGGCAGCGTAGTCTTTGTCGGTGAGGACTCGAATGGCGACACCCCTACTATGCAGCGCTAGTACAGCCCTCCTCAGGTTAATGTTGGAAAAGGCAAAGACACACAAGTCCAGAGAGAAGGAAGCAGACAGGATGCGCTGGAGAAGACGAGATAAAGAGGTCTCTTTGCCATGGGGCAACGAGCAGAAACAGGAGCTGGAAGAGGAGAAAACAAGAGGAAATAAGAGTGTGCCTACTTATTGTGTCATATGCTGATCTTCCATAGGTTATACCAAATATCCTCCAGGCTGTTATCTATTTATATATTACACCTCTCACCCAGGTTGTCCAGAAAGTAAGGAAGTTGTGAGGTTGCAAAAGCTCTATTTGTTAAGTCAAACAGCAGTGTTCCAGCTGGTGAAAATGCAAATTTAAAAAAATAATAGTCCTGTTCAGTGAAAAACGTTTAGGAGGAGGAATGATAATTGCACGAACTAAATCCACTTACTGAAAGCATCTAGGGGCTGTGGATTTTTGCATTAGTGGCCATTATCACAACACACTTGACAGTGATACAGAGAAAATCCTATATAGCTTCCTTTTACTCAATACAGCGATTATGTTTCACTTACTGCGGCAAAGAGGGAGTGAAGATGTGCTCCACACAGGCCATCTCTGTGGGAAAGAAGAGGACCTCATTGAGGATTCGTCCAGCAGGCCTGAGGCGACGTAGGAGCCGGCCAAACAGCTCCAGGCTGAGAGAGAGGGCCACCACACCCAGACCAACCACCTTCACAGTCCACATCACTGAGGTTTACATAACAAAAGAATGTTTCACAACCAAACATGTAGTATCCTGCAAACTGTCTAATCTTTACATATAATTCTAAAATGTTCTTTTGAGTTTTGTATTGACATTTTCATACAGGTCTGTTTTAAATATGTGTTTTGTACTGCTGTGCATTAATCCATTAGTCCAGCTTCTCAATATGCTGCTTTTCTCTATTTTCAGTCATTGTAAATTAAATATCTTTTTATTGTAGTCTGTTTGAAGACGTCACTTTGAGAAATCATAATGGGCATTTCTCACCATGTCCTGACATTTAATTTTACAGACAAAAACTATTAACCAAATCGACAAGATGATCAGCAGATTAGTCAATGATGAAAATAATCATTGTTTGGATACAGAACACTGATAACATCACATTATACCTATGTGAATGTTGTATAATCATGTCTCTACATTTTATAAATAGTATACACTATTTAGCGACATATGACAACTAAGTACATTTACTCAATTTACATTTACCAATGCATGTACCGGTAAGTACAATTTTGAGGTACTTCTACTTTATTGGAGTATTTCCATTTTAAACTATTTTGTACTTCTACTACATTAGATTTTGGAGGCAAATATTCTACTTTTCACTCTATTTGTGACTTATTTTACATACAACCTTATTTTTTACAACACTAAATATAATCAACTAATAAAACATAGAGTAGTTAAAATTAACTCCGCCTTTACCAGCTGCAACATAAGTGATGATAACCCATGAATGCATCAATAATCATAATCCTATAATATTATTCTGAAATGCGCCATTCTGCATGAGTACTTTTACTTTTAGTACTTATTTTGATACTAATATTATGTCACTTTACTTTGGTAAGATTTTGAACGCAAGGCTTTTACTGATGTCACTGATTAATGAAGTTCTGAGTACTTGTTCAACTGTATTCATATTGGCTGATGGATACGGGCCCACGACAGCCACATCCTGGATGCAAAAAATGTGAAGGTCGCTGGTGTGTGTGTGGCACTGAAAATTACGTCGCGGCAGTTGTGTGTGGCGTCGCTATGACGACCAGCTACGTTGAGGGTTACTACCTCTGAGTACTATCTGCAATGGAAAACGGAGCACGAACAAACCGAATCGAGCCGAATCGGTACTGCTAATGGAAAAATTAGTAAACTTATTTACTTAAAAATGCAACTCACCTAACGTTAGCCATGAGCAGAATGGCACAGATCATTGGTTAACCAAGCTAATTAAGCATGACAAACGCTAACGTTATATGAAGCCTAACGTTAGTTAAACACGGACACAGATTAAGGTTAACGTTACGAGGTGTTGATGATTTGTGACGTTTTCATACCGTATCAACACCAAACACCGAGGAAAGAAAACAGCCTACAAACCAAGCCTACTGGTGAGATTTAAGTTAAGAGTTAACTTGACATTTCCAGCATGTTGGAGGGGATGTCAAAAGAAAACACACGAGAGTATTTTGGTGAACACGACGAACCTGCTAGTTAACTTCTGTCGCCACCACGCGGGACTGAGTGTCACGCTCACGCAGGCGCTGTTTCGTCACTGCCAATCAACTTGACTGACATGTCAGACGGCCAATGACTGGCCGTGAAGCGCTCCTCGGTGCTCCAATCATTTAACGCGATAACAGTTGCCGGGCTAGTGGAAGCCTTTTCCTCTTCACTGCAACGTGTATTTTGTACGACCAAAGGTAAACACAATCAACTTTTACTAGCTATCATTTAACAATCACGACATGTTTAATAGCTACGGCTGGTCGAGGAATAGTCAAAGACGGTTTAATGTCCATGTAGGTCGTCCTTTTTATCGTAGGGCGAATTATGGTGTTACGTTAGTGGAGATCAACAACAAACATGCTAACGTTACCGTTAGCCTGCTAACTCTTGTGGCCGACGAGTTGTTTTCTAGTCAGAGTTTCTCACATATTTTCTCTTTGGTGGTATTGACTCATCGCTATTGTTCTCAGTGTTGAAGCTGCCTGGTTTTTGTGTCTTTATCGCACAGACTTGATTTCGTTTTCCTGCAATGGGTCGCCGCAAGTCCAAAAGAAAGCCCCCTCCGAAAAAGAAGATGACGGGAGATCTGGACTCTCAGTTCACCTGTCCCTTCTGCAACCACGAGAAGTCATGTGATGTCAAAATGTACTTAAATCCTCCCCAAAGACCTCTCCCAAAACAACTTCTTCAAGTTTGATTCGTGATTGTTGCCAACGTTTGCTTTTGCTTTTTCTGTCAACAGGGAGAGGAGCAGGAATACTGGGATAATATCGTGCACAGTCTGCTTGGAGGAGTTCCAGACTCCCATTACCTGTATCCTTGTTCAAACATGGGTTCTAGATAATATCACCACTCTCTCATACAGTAACCAATAATAATGACAGATCCACAGACTAGTTTGAACACCATCTCAATTTAACAAGTAACATCCATTTTCTATTAGCTTTTGGCTGAAGGTGTGTCTTTGGTCTTGGTGAACACCAGCATATGAAACCTTTGTAGTACATATGCACCGTTTATACATGAGGCTGCGGTGCAACAAGAAAACAGCTAAATCTCTTCATCATCCACTGTCCAGTTGGCAGAGTAACAAAACTGCACCTCACAGCCAACTTCTGATAATGAGAGGGACCGATACCCGGCTGACTGAATCATCATTTTATGATTGTCACATCTTTTGGAGAAAAAAACAGACAAAACAAAAATACTGGTTAATGACAACAACTGTGTTATTGTGTTTACATTTAAACTGCCTGATCGCAGAGAAAGTTACACATGACAAAGTTAACTTTACTCCTACACCCACCAATTGCGACTGGGCAGGCTACAGACACAGCCACTTATACCTCCATTCAGTCTCCTCCTGCTCTCGTGATTACCTGTACTGTGTTTTAGTCAGCCGATTACACAGTTTAGTTATTCTCATTTACAGATTTTTCTGTGTCTCTTGTCTGACAGCTGAACAGGTATTGAAAGTGATTTTGTAGCAGCTCATAAATACTAGCTGTCAAGTGCTATGATTCACAAGCTGCTGCGCTATGCTGATTTAATTTGTCTGGACGGAGGGCTGAAACAAAGACCAAAGATTTTACATGACTAAGTAGCCATCTTTAAACACAGATGGCCCTCCCATAAACAACCAGCTTTATTGTGTGACTGAAGAACTGATGGAGGCTGTAAGTGAACCTCGAGTTAGTCACTTTGTCAATGTGTATGACATTGAAAAACTACACCTCCCATGAGGCTTTTACTGCCCTTCATTGGCTATGACTCTCTGCAGGTATTACTGTTTGATACTGAAAGTTTTTATTGAATTAATGAGGCGCTCAGATGTGGCTAGTTTTAGCATTTTAAGAGAGACAGATGAAAGAAATATATTTTGTGGAGGATAGTGGGAAATAAGGTACCCTGGAAAAGGAGCAAGACTTGTTTCTGAAAATGATCAACTTATGATAAATTATATACAGATTTAGAATGTGGCCCTCAAATGGAAACTTTTCTGTTCAGCGTTTTGTTTTCCCTTTTGTATTGATTTCCAAAGTTCATAATATAAAATTGCAAGAAAATTACTTTTTTCCTTAATTCATTGCTCTTCAGATCTGTCAGAGCCAGTTGACGTGTACAGTGATTGGATAGATGCCTGTGAAGCCGCCAATCAGTAGCCCCCATGGAGCCGGATGTCTTTCAGGAATGGGAGGAGGATGTGGCTTGTGGTCCAGGGCCCATTAGGATTAAGCCGGTCAGAGGACATTTGTGAAACTCTTATTATTCTCAGGTTTTCCAGATGGTCACTCAAGAAGTACAACTGTGTGAACAGCAGTTTCACTGAGGTATTCGGCACAAAGTAGCCCTCTGGCTTTCCCCTTTCTATCTAAGCCAATCTGACTGTTGAGATTTTAGTAGTTATGGATGATTCCAAAAAAGGGTGTCCTTTTTATTTAGTTTTTTAACAGCTAGATAGTGTTAGCTGCATAAATATAATTTTGAACAGAGGCCTGTATTGTAGTAGTCTCATACACTCTGACACTACTGTAGTTGAAGAGGTTCATTTCCAGGTAGGCTGCACTGCCAGACCTACCAAAAAGTTAGGTAGGAGTGAACTTTGCCTTTGGTTCAATGTCAACACCATTCAGGTTTGACGATGCAGGTTGTGTTCACAATAATAATTACCCACAGCTCTCATCCTCCTCTTAAAGTCAGTTGTCACAACATGAGGTGAGAGGAATGACAGTGTGTAAGATTTATGCTTAGCTGCTACATTCAAAGGTTCAATTGTTATTAAATCATTGAGACTTTTCAGTTGATTTTATGTTTTTAGCTTACATGTTCAAGAAATAAACATTTTTAAGTATTAATGATGTTTGTTATTTAGTGCATATGTACAGATTAGTATGATCTTATCCTGAAATCAAGTGTTCATTTTGGGTGTTTATTTTCCTATTCAACAGCCATCAAGTCTTGAATAGCATAAAAGCAAGCTGTTTTCTAAACATGAATTTGATAATCTTGAAATAAAGGAGCAATAAGACTCGTTAACAGTTAAGTGTTGGTTGGTTTTGATTTAACTGCATAAAGAAGTAAATGTACTGTACTGTAATTTGATATCACAATACAGTAGATGTTTAATTTGTTACACAAAATATCCAGTTGAATCAGTACGCAGTGAGCAAAAGATTTAAAAACCTGACAAACACCCTTTGGATTTTTTCATTCTTTTCTTTTTGTGATCAAGATGTGGTTGTGTGACCTTGATCTGGTTTGGTTGAATATAATCTCTTTTTTAAGGAATAGTAAACAGTGATTAGATCTTACAGGAAATTAACATCCTATGCAGCACTGAGCACCACCAGCTGGTGGCAAATGGAGGGACAAGCTCAGAGTTACAGGTGGGTTTTAGACTAACTATCAAAGAAATGAGAGTTAATAAAGAAAAATCATATCTACAAAAGCGTAAATTACTGCCTTTGACTGGTGTTGAGTATAAAATAGATTGAATAGAAGAAGAACAGACTCAACTTCCAGATGTGGGTTTTTATTTGAGTTTGTACTGTTCCAGTTTTGGTTCATCATACACAGGTATAGTCAGCCATGAAGAACATGCTTTTAGATTGAAAGACAGCCCAGCACAATGTGATACCTTCAGATAGTGAATGGATAGAGAATCGCCTAAAATGCATTTTAATAATTGCAGCACTTAAATTCAAAGGTGTCAAAGACACTGGCAATAAAATGTCTCTGTGCGTCTCAGTACTCACCTGTGGTTTCTGTGACCGTGACACGTGGTTTGACTCTCCATTCATCCCCACAGAGTATAGGATGTAGGAGATCACAAATGAAAGAAGACACAGTGTAGTAAGGCTGTGCACCAGGCAAGGCTGAGTGATAATAGATGAGATGTGGAGTGCCTGCCTGGGCTCTCCACCCAGGAAGAGTGTGTCCGTGCATGCGCGCACTGCACTGTGTATTGTGTTTGATGATGGACCCCAGCTGGAGAGGTATTGCCGACGCCTTATGAAACATGCTGGAGGATGATTACAATGGAGGAATGATTATCACTTAGTCTCTCATCTATCTCTGCACGTCCCCTCCCACTCCCTCCCCCTCTCTTCTATTTCTCGCTCCTTCTTTCTCCTCTCCCATTCAGCACGCGAGGTCAAGTGTCACTCTGTCTCTGTTGTCAAGGCTGCCAATCACCCACACAGTGAATGCAAGGCAACTGTTGCCAAGGAAACAGAGCGATTCGGTTGCTAGGCACCTGGAGCTGTGCTCACAATAGTCATTTTGTTGCTTAGAAGCGTACACACATGCATGCACAAGTACACACAAAACCACAGAAACGGCTTTGCACAATCAACAAGTTTACACGTCAGTCTGAAATTTGAATTATAATGGCATACTGTGCTAATAAATAAGACATTTGCTTACGCAGTAGTAAGAAATCATGGAGTAGTAAACGATGGGAGTGCAATTCATCATGGGCACAGTTGCAATACAGATGCTAATATAATGCTGAATTTGCAATGAAATGTTGATTTTCTAATTTATAACACTTAGCAATAATGCTAATGTACCAAAAATGTAATTCAGGATGTTTTATTCCAACACCTTTGCTACCTGATTAATCAGTGTGTCCTGTCGTCCAAGACCCACACTTCAACCTGATCAATAAAAGACATAAACATCCATCATTCTGACTAAAAATAGTTACCCATAAAATCAATCAATCCCTTATTTCCCCACTGGCACATGGACCCAGTGAACCTGGCTGCAGTGTGTGTGCATGCATATATATGGGGATCTATCTGCATGCTTGTTTTCATAAGACCCATCAATCAGCTATTTCCTTACTGGCATGTAGATTATGTGAACCCTCATTCAGTTTATATATGTGTGCGTGTGTGTGGGTCTGAGTCTCCATCATGACAGCCAGTCAGCTGAGCCGAATGCTGAAATGTCAGCAACGGGTGCAAGTCTTGACATGTCCTCATGTGTTACTGTCTCCTGTTGCTGCTACAGGCATCAAACTCTCACACATTTTTAGAATGAGGCGGGGAGTCAAAAATAGGAGTGCAAGAGTATTCGGTAGTGCAGTGGGATGATGGTTATGCACAGTTATAATGTAACATCCCATGGCACTGCAGCCATTTATGTCCAAGGACCCACTTTCTGTTGCAAACTTCTGATTTCTGTTCAGTGTGAGGAAAATGTTTGGCCCGGAGTGTGAAGGGCTGTGAAAGACACTCATCTACTGATAAGATTATAGGCTCACTTGTGTGCATGACTGACTGACAAGGGTAAGTAATCAAGAAGGTTTGGAATTAACGTCTGAGTACGAAGACTTTTGTGTTAAGCTCCCTGAACTAATGCCCGGGGGTTTAGCTTAGTGGCATGGTGCAAGTTTCCCCCGCCAGCGCCTCCGCAGGAGAGGCTGAATCTGGCCAGCGAAACAAACTCATTTCCTCCACAGGTGTAAAGAGTGACATGGTTGATAAACCTGCGATGATAAAACCTTTTCAGTGGCTGGATTTGATTTAGCTAGCCCTGATTGCGTTCTATTTAAAAACCTTTCTGATTGAACAAAATAAGCCTTCTCCCATAAAAAGTCACCTCTAGGTGCTTAATTAAAAACCACCCCATGTCACCTCCTCAGCTTGGCTATACATTTATGTGTCTGCCTGGCCTTTGCCATTGTACTCTACTGAACAGAGTTCTGATTTTGGTCCACTGTAGATGATATAGCTTCCACTCGACTACGCGTATTCTCAAGCAATAACATCCACATCTGTATTATCAACCCAAGAATACCCGTGGTCGAGACCGGAGCAAAGAGGCCCACCTCCTCCCCTGCATTCCTTTCTCTCTCCTCTCAGCTCAGGAGCTCATTCTCCTTTTCTGTGTGCATCCTTTCAGCTCCTGCACTCTGAATCCAATTGCACTGTGGAAGGAGGAGGTCTGTGTGGAGGCAAATCTTTAAGGACAGCACCTAGGATAAGAAAGACAAAAGAGATATTTATCCTTGAATAACAATGCAGCAGCACTTGTTTCTCAGAGGTCATAATACACATTTAACACATGCTTCAAGTCACATCTTGAGCACATTGTTAGTTTAATAAGCCGATTGTAAGCTTTACACAATATGCCACACACACACACACACACACACACACACACACACACACAAACACACATATGCAGGCAGCCTGCTATGCATCTTTACCTGAGCTGCACCTAGTAAACAGATTGTACTGCCAACAGCTAGTCCCTTTGCTCACCCTGGTATCAAGCAACCATTTAGCCAGGCGCTGAGGGAGAGGGCAGGCTCACCAATTATCAAATAGGTGTCAGTGTGTGTTACACTGCACTGAGGGGAGAGACTGATTACCAAACAGATGTTCAGCCCTCACCTCCATCCCCTCCTCCTCATGCCTTCCTTCATTCCATTTTCTACTCCTGTTCCCCATCTATCTGTGTCCACCTGTCTCTTCCTCCTATCCTCTTCTCTTAAACTTATTGTTGGAAGACTCTCTCGTATGCCCCCATCTCCTACCCCCACACATTCTTTCTCCTCTCCTTGGTCTGTCCCATGGAGAATAAGCCAGACTCTATCCTTATCCACACTTGCCAATTAGAGACACGGTAGTTGTCAATCAACAGCTGAGGAGGAGAGAACAAGAGAAGGAGAGTCATTGGGAAAAGGGGAGGTGGGGGAGACTTGGGGGGAGGGGTGGGGGTTGGTGGGTTGCATCAGCACCACAGACAGCTCCCCCTGGAAAACTCAGGCTAGTTCACAAACCTGGCTTGATGGTCTCTCTCTTTCTCTTTTCTCACCTCCTCTCACTTTCCTCCCGTAACCTTTCCTCTCTAATCACTGTGACCCCTCTTGTCGTATTTCCCCGCCCTTGCCCTGGGTTTACCCCTTTACCCCTCTGTCCCCTACTTCTACTATCTACCATCTCATCCTCAGATCAGCTTGTTTATCCATTCAGACACATGCATGCATACGCCATACATCCTTCCCCTCTCTGTAGCCCTTCGCCTTATCAAAGCTGCACAGGCCTGACACTCCTGGAAAGTTCCCATTTACCGCTGACAATCCTCTTGTCTCACTCACACCTGTGATGGTCCACATCCTAACCCACTGTCATTGCAAGGGAAGTGCCAAATCTAGCTGGAGCCATCGCGTTGAGAAGATCTTGACACTCGTCTCCCTCATTACCTATATTCCTTTAGTCAGTCTTCTCCACTGATCTCTCTCTCTCATTCTCTCTCTCTCCTCGCCTCTTCCTCCATCCCAACTGTCCATGTCTGGGCTGCGGATGATGACAACTCAAGTGGACATGTCTTCTGTTCTCACCAAGAGCTGTGAAGAGATGTACGTAGGTGTCAGAGATCGGGTGTAAAAATACACCCTGCCGTTGCCCTCTTCACTACACAGGACCGTTCAGTGTCTGCTCAGTGTCACTGGAATAGCTCCATCTAATTTGAAGACATGCTTCAGTGTAGTTTTAGCTGTGTGTGTGAGGGCTAAGCTATGAGAGACTGACTCTTACATACAATGGGTGTGCCTGCAGAAGTAGTTTTGAATGTATAGACCAGGCCTTTTTTTGGTCTCCTCATTTATACTTTTACATTCATGTAAACTGACCTGCATCTGTGCATTTACAACTATACCTTTATCCACAATAATAGCCATATAGCCTGCATAAGAACTTTATTTCAAGGCGAAAGACATCTGGTTTGCATTTATAAGAAAATCCATTTCCTGAATTGACTTGATTGAAAGTGGACTGGCTCCAGCTGGAGGGCCTAATGAAAGGCAATCGGTCTGTGTTTCATATTTATGTCTGATGCAACAGACCTATCAATCCTTTAATGTACCTGGTGTTTCAGATAGGATGCAGAATCACAAGTGGCTGTGCCAGAGGCAAAGACAAGACAGGCTTGAGATGGAGACAGAGACTGAGCGGATGCTGGGTTACCGCTTGCACATTACTGCTTAATTGCTTGGAACTAAAGGTGCTGTTATGAGGATGTTTATGCTTA